CACTTCGAAGAGATTTCCTAGGATTCTGCGACATAGTGATATAAGGTATATTCTCAACTGACTTTCAGGTCAAAAGCAGTTTGTACAAAAACGTCAAAGATAATGACCGCCCGTGTTTACACATTCGTCCTCGACAAAACCGCGTGGTTCGAAAGTTCGCGCATGCTCAAATAGCGATCTTGGCGAGTTCCTATTCTGATGACGTAATTGCCATTGAGGTGAGAAAATAGAAAGTTCCCCCTCTGACTTCTCATATTTCTTCAGTGAAGTTCCTTAAAATTTGGCAGAGATGTTATACCCTTTTAGCTTTCCTTGCTGTGAATTTATCAGAAAAATTTGTAAGACAAGTTTTTCGCTCAGCCAAAAAAACAAAAAAAAAATGTTAAAAGCGAAAAAACTACCTTGTCAACCCCTATTTTTTCGATTTTAAAAGTTTCGTCTTGTCAGATTGTACCCGTTCGGTGAATAATAAAAAATTCTACCGAAGAAAATTGAAGAAAATTGAAATCAAAGTCAAACAGACGTCAAAAAATGGCGATATTTGAGTAGTTTTAATTTGGGACTAAAAGTTTTTACTTCAGAGGTGACTGTTGTAGAGCAAATTTAGGTCCTTGATTTTTATGTTTCAGTCGCTTTGATTTGAAAAATAGCAAAAACAACAAGAATATTAACTTCGATTGATTCCACTGACGCGCGCTTCGTGATCTTGCATAACCCTACTGAGCCACCTTAATTTAGCAATCACATTTGCCTGGTCCTGTGGGCTGAAATTTAGTATCAGTTTAGTATCATCTACATAACACTGCGGGGAGCTGTGGCGTGGCGTACATCTATTGTTTAGTTGAACAACAACTAGACAATGTTAATCTATTTAGATCTGCAAGGAGTGGTAGAAGTAGTTGGCATGCCTCCTCTTAGTTGGTGGTCTACAAACCTCCATTCAAATAGAAATCTTGTAATTCTTGTCATTCTTGACAAAGCGTTTCTGAATAGTCCCGTCCGATTTTGTTTACAACAACAACACCACTAACTTCAGCACCAAGCAACATTGAAATGGGAGAGAGGGGAAAAAATGAGAGTGACAAGAAAAAATTCAAAAGGAATAGGCTTTCCTAAGTCAGAACTGAGTTTAATTTGCAAGTGAATGAAAACTTATTACCATACGAAAGGATGAGTACCAGGACTCGCTTTGAAAAAGAGGCTAAAGACAATTCGGAAATGGGCTATTACAATGATATACCATGAAATAACAAAGACGTTTCTTCATTA